AAAACCATTTTTGTCTATTCTAATTCAGCTTCCGACTTCTGTGTTCAATTTTCCCTGAAGATAATCCAAAATTCTGCTGGGTTATTGGATTGTCCCCTTTCATAACTATATGTACTGTTTTATTGGTTGGTTTGTTTAAAGGCATATTAACTTGTCATGGGTCATTTAATGCCAAAATGTAATTTTCTTGTAAGCTTTAGTAGTTTATATTTTTTACTATGAAAATCTATTGTTGGAAAATTTTTGTTTGTATTACTCTAATACTATGTATCTAATATCTGTTACATAACATTTGATAGCCAGTTTCTTTGGGTAGAGAGATCTGGACAGTCCAAGAAAGTAGTTCATGTAGCGGAAGGAAAACTTTGATTTTAAACCGCCGATGCCTTGCGATCATATCCAAACCCGAAGAATTCTATGGAAATAAATCCAAACAGAAAACCCGTGACGCGTAGCCCCGAAGGCGATTGACTAACAATTTCATTACAATTATCCATTACACCAACCGCATACCCACGCTTACAACATCTTCTATTCCAAGGTGTCACCCATCTAGGTATTGGCCAGGTTCGACGTTGCTTAAGTTCGGCGATTCTACAGGAACTGCTGTTTCAAACTGATCGTAAACCACAGGGTAGAAGATGTCTGTGTGCAACTTCTTTTTTTACCAAACGAATACGAAGGAAACGAGGATGATTTGATGCCGTGCAAATAGCATGACTGTTTCTATCTGTGAAGGTCTCAGTGGAACGAAGGAATATAGGTCGTTTGAGCAATTGCCATAGCAATAGCAAGAGGTTAGCAACGTTTCTTAAGTGGTGAAGTGGTTCAAAGCATTGCAGAGTTTCACTGAAAGTGGAACTCTTCTATCATGACTGGAGAAAAATCAGACTGATGATGAAAGGATATTAAACTCCCCTAGTGCCATCTAATTACAATGAAAAAAAATGAAGGAAAGCCAATTCAATTGTATCAAGATGTACACAAGAGAGAGAGAGAGAGAGTGAGAGAGAGAGAGGAGGAGTGAGACAGGCAGGTGCAGAGAGCAAGAGAGAGAGAGAGAGAGAGAGAGGAGGAATAGGAAGAAGAGTGGGGAATGGATGAAGAAAGAAATGTGAAAGAAACCCCAAGAATCGAAATAATCTCTAAGATAAGCCTCATGAGCGTATATTAGCCGGTGCCATAAGAATAAGAGAAAAAAGATGTTGTTGCAGACAACGCCAGCACAAAAAAGAAAGAACACCCCAAAAATGTAATGAATAATAATAGTAAATGTAAAGAGAATAGTATAATCGAAATATCCAGAAGAAATATAATAATAATAATAATGATAATAATAATGATAATAAACTAATACAAAAAAATATCTCCTTATTGACATGGCAGTCCCTGCAGACTACAATGTATCTTTGAAGATCTTCAAAAAGCTAACAAAATACAAGGACCTTGAAATCGAAATCTCAAAAATGTGGCACATGTGAACAACAACAATCCCCGTTGTAGTTGGAGCCCCCGGATTGGTTGGAAAAGATTCCAGGAGACTAATTGAAGGGATTCCTGGAAGCCCACGCCTTAAAGAAATACGAAACATTGTTCTCACGAGTACAGCCCACACTTTACGAAGGTCTTTATCTATGTAAAATATGTGTGTCTGTGTTGAATTGGTCAGTGGAAAGTGTTATGATGCCATTTCTGATCTTATGTCTTTAATCTTCAAAAAAGTATCAAAATACCTTGAAATCGAAATCTCAAAAATTTGGCACATGAGGACATTAAAAATTCCAGTTGTAGCTGGAGTCTTCGGATTGATTGGAAAAGAATACAATAGACTCATTGAAGGAATGCCTGCTAGTGTATGCCTTAAAGAATAAAAAATTGTACTCACAAGTATAGCCCACACCCTTACGAAGGGCTTTATCTATGCAAAATATGTGTTTGTTTGTTTTTTTTAATTGCTCAGTGGAAAATGTCATGATGCCATTTCTGATCTTAGGTCTCTGGTCAGGATCCGGAAAGAAACGAGTATACACCAGAAATCAAAAGAAATAATAATAATAATAATAATAATAATAATAATAATAATAATGAAAAATTATTTGGAATAAAAACGATAAATGAATAAGAAAAGAGAATAAAATAATACCGAGAGAATTGTTTTCGGTTGTTTTTGTTTCGCGGCACATCATCATCTCTATGGGTTATTTAATGTCAAAATCTAAAGATTTTGTACGCAAGTTATTTTATTTTAATTTTTTAGCGGGAGATAATAATGCCTTTAGTGATGCAAGTCTTACTAATTAACCCATAGCTGGAGTCATCCCTTTTCTAAGGGTACTTATGCATAAGTGAGTAGAATGAACCTAACTGGAATTAGAACTCGACACTCCGATTAACAATTTCTAGCCATTATCAATGAAACCACACACACATCTAAGGAGTAAGCTGAGAAGAAGAAGTAGTCGTCGTCGTCGTCGTCGTCGTAGTAGTAGTAGTAATAGAAGAAGAAGAAGAAGAAGAAGAAGAAGAAGAAGAAGAGGAAGATAAGAATAAAGAGAAAAGAAGGAAGAAGAAAAAGATAAGAAAAAGTCTATAAATATCGAGGAACGAAAATTTGAAATTGAGAGGTTAATGATACTATTGAAAAAAGAAGAAAACGAAAAGAATGATAAAGAAGTGAAGAAGAAAAAGGAAATAATAATAATAATAATAATAATAAGATGATGATTATGATGATGATGAAGAAGGAAAAGTAAATAATTGTTGCGTCACAGGACAGAAATGATCACGTGATAATATTTTTAAAGAGAATATAAAAGGAAAAAAAACGAGTCTCAAAATGAGGAAGAAAGAGAAGAAATAAAATAAGAAGAAAGAAGGAAAGGGCTTGAAATGTGATCACAGAAAGAAGTGAAAGAAAGAAAGAAAGAAAGAGAAAGAGACAGCATTAAATCGAAGAAAGAAAAGAAGAAACAGGAGAAGTGTATATTACTAAAGAGAGAAACAATAATGTGAGAAAGGCTGATAATGTGAGAAATGTCGAGTATGAATGATGGCCCTGTCGTGCTAATTATCGCTCAGCATGGACGCCATAAACAAAATGGCAGCCAAGCATATAGTCATGAATTAATGGTCAAGTTCTCATCTAATGAGCTTGGCGCGAAAACCTGGCTTTCTGCTCGACTAGAATCCAACCTTTGACGCCCAACCAATGGCAACGTCACACACGTACGATTTAAAATATTAAAAAATTAAAAATAAAAACAGGTATAATTCAACTACATTTTTCTTCATTTAAACAATTGACTGACCTCATCGAATATTAATTTCTCTTAACATTATTATAACAATGATTTAGAGTTCGACAATAATACAATAATACAAAGATCTTTGATTTATACAAAGACGAGTAACTTTTTTAAGTATGAAAAATTGCCATTTTTCTGTATTTAGCAAGAATAGGAAAAATGGAGTACACTGACATACCAAAATCCAGGGGCTAGGTGCTTGGTGTTGTGCAGGATACAGATAGTTGAATAGTTGAATGGAAGCAAGGCAACATGATATCAATTCCACAAGTAGTTGAAACAAATCTGGAAATATATTGAACCATGTCATCTCAACACCTGTCTAGTATTACCTGCTATAAGTTAAGCGCAGTATGTTGCATGTAAACACGAAATATCCTCGATTTGTCGTCGTGCGAACATTTTGATCATATACAGTGTAACCCGGATATAAGAGACCCGGATATAAGAGAAACCCGGATATAAGAGAGATTTTCTCTGGTCCCAAATTAGAGCTTGTGTTAATGTATATAAAATAGACCAAACCCGGATATAAGAGAAACCCGGATATAAGAGACAACTCCCGACAACTCTCTTATATCCGGGTTACACTGTAGAGGATAAAGAGGAAAGATGATCACTGAGCGTTGGTCTAACGAGACCAAGATTGAAGTATTCAGGGAAGCACCCACGCAGGAGTATATTTCTCAGTGGCAGTTCTTCGGAAAACACGATACGAATTGTAGTGACTGATATCATTTGGAACCGGAAAGAAATTAGGGTAATTAAAATCCCGGGTGTGTGGCATGGATTTCTCTAGGTGTAATTGTCTGAACTGATAGCACTAAAGTACGTAGATGTTTTTTATGTATGTATCTAGAGTTATAGGAATGTTTTATCTCTCAAACACTGCCAGCGCATTGTGTCTGTGTTCATAGCATCAGCTCTAAACTCGGCCACAATGTGCTGACAGTGTTTGGAAAATAAAACATTCCTATAACTCTAAATATATACATAAAAATCCATACATTCAGTTAAAAGTAAAAAATAAAATCTTTCTTAACACTGGCTAAAAGAATAGCCGAAACCGCTTGGACATAAAGAACATTCAGATAATGTTTACATAATTTATTTACAGAAAAGAAAAAAATATAAGAACACAAGGAAAAAAAAAAAAAAACTTAACCGCACCAACTTGTCAGTAGTTTTTATCGAAACGTGTATAAAGGAGGAATTGTTGCCCAAATATGCGCGCGCGCATACACGCACACACACACATATATATATATATATATTGAATTTATTATTCAATAATGTTGTAGTGGAACGTTGCATAAGGCCACTTAGGAAATACGGATACTAATTTAACTTTTCCATCCTTCTTTTTGTTGAGTGTTCTATGAAGCTTATAACTATCAGGATACTCTTTTGTAGAGAGCTGAATAATTGATTCGTTTCATGGTTTATCAACCATTTGCAGGCTATTTAAAGCCAGAAAATACTTTTGGATTGCTAAAAAATTTTGGCGATTACAATGATTTAGTGATACAGGTCTTACTGATTAACCTATATCCAGGGGAGAAGATGTGGATACATAACTTTCCTAAGGGTATTTATGCGTAAGTGAATATAAATAACCCAGCTAGAATTGAAAACCGACTCACCGATTAACAATTCTGAGACATTAACCATTACACCACCCGCACATCTAAGAGTACTGCGCTTAGGATTCCCAAGCGGTCATCCATCTTGGTACTCATCAGGCCCGACGTTGCTCGACGGCGGTGATCGTACGGGAACCAATGATACAATATGATGTGGCTGTAAGCCGCGCTGAATCAGGCCACTTGCAAAATCGAGATAATAATTTAATCAGAATTCGTAGATTATTGGATAAAGTCTCTTCGAGAACAAAATCTATTCTCATTTGTTTTGTAGAGGATTAAGTTCTGTCTGCTTTAAGACCGGTCTATGTATGTTTAATTTTATAATTCGTTTTTGGACCGTTGAATGGAACAAATTTCACGAAGGACGTATCCATTTCATTTGAAAACAGCATATATATCTTAATTTTGTCATTTGACAATCACGGAATTCACCCCTCTGCAAATCGAGGTGTCTACTTAGTTTAATCATATGTTGTAGACCGTTAAATGAAGAGACTTTGAAAATAGAGATGTCTACTTAATCTTATCATGTAGGCCCATCAATAAATACACTTTGAAACAGAGATATAATCTGAATGGTATTAATTTCTGTCGGCTGCATAATAAAGCTATGTTAAAAAAGAGATGTATTTTTATATTTATCATGTTTTGTAGACAGTTGAATAAAGCCACTTTGAAAACAGATGTTTCCTTACATTTATTATGTTTTGTAAACTGTTGACAACATTGAAAACAGAGATGTTATCTTACCTTTTATCATGTTTTGTAGGCCACTGAATAAAGCCACTTTGAAAACAGATGCATTCTATCATTTACAATGTTCTGTATATTATTGAATAAAGCCACTTTGAAAACAGATGCATTCTATCATTTACAATGTTCTGTATATTATTGAATAAAGCCACTTTGAAAACAGATGCATTCTATCATTTACAATGTTCTGTATATTATTGAATAAAGCCACTTTGAAAACAGATATTTTCTTACATTTATCATGTTTTGTAAACCGTTGAATAAAGCCACTTTGAAACCAGGGATCTATTCTTATATTCATTATGTTTTGTATAGAGTTGAATAAAACCCCTCTGTAAACAAGGATGTATTCTTACATGAATCTTGTTCTGCAGTGCCGTTCAATAAAGCCATTTTGAAACCAGGGCTCTAATCTTACATTTATTATTTTTAAACGTTTAATGTAACGTTTAAAAAGCTACTATAAACACTGAGAGTTATTCTTATTTTTATCATGTTTGGAAACCGTTGAATAAAGCCACTTTGAAAACAGAGATATATTCTTGTATCATATTTGTAGACGGTTTCATAAAGCCACTCATCCTAGTTTATAGACCGTTGAATAAATCACGTACAAAATGAGAAGTGTTTATTTAATTTTATTAATACCTGTCTATATCTCTGAAAAGAGTTATTATAATTACTTGAATTATTTACATTATTCTAACTGTCGTCCTCATCTTCAATGCCATATTCACAACGTTTCGGCCGTTGTAGACTCCAGCCTTCTTCAGGTGATTGGAATTTCGAATCGAACCCTTTATATAAGTGTAGTCATTGGATCTAACCAACGTCTTTATCGACTGGGACATGTGTCCTTGATGATACATGGCCCAATGGATAAAAACGTTGGTTAGATCCCGTGACCCAAAGAGTTGTGAGTTCAATACCAGGCCACAGCAGTGGTGAACCGAAACATTTCACGTGGAACTAGAACAATCTGTTGTGGCTTTGTTAGAGGCCAGAAATAAAGACACAAGAGAGGAATTGAGTTAAACAAATATATTGAAAGAAACAGTAATACGAACGAGAGTGTTACAGCAAGAATGTTCGATCCGAGTGTGTGAGCTGACTGCTGGAAACATCTTTCTCCAAAAGGCAGTAACTGCTCCTATTTATATCTGTGAGGGTCCATGCGTGCATGGGTAAATTACCATAAAACAATCTACCCCGATAGACGAAATAAAGGGTTCGGTTCGAAATTTAAATCACCTGAAGAGGGCCAGACTGTACAACGGCCGAAACTTTGTGAATATGGCAACGAATACGAGGATAACAGTCCGAATAATGTAAATAATGCAAGTAATTTTATCAATTCTGTCAAAGTCTGATTTACAATTTTTGATAATGAGGTTCTTTAACGCGTATCACAAAAAAAATCGGATAATCAGAAATATACATGATTCTGAAAGAAATGTGATAAGTAGACATAATCCGAATAGCGTGGGAGCACGTTTTCGGGTTTCAGACGATTGGGCCCTCGATTCGTCATTATCCAACCTGCAATCAAATATGAACTTCACGCCCAATCGTTCCTGTTATCTTCAAAGCACTGAGCAATTTTTCATTTATTTTTTCTTCTTTGTTCTGGAGAACACGTAACAGATTATTGGTAACGGATATCTCCATATATTTTTGCATACTTGCAGCCACATCCCGTGTGGCTTTGTAGTTCATCTCCTGCATAACCATTGGCTATCAGAAACAGTCAGAATGGTTTGGCTTTCACGCATCGACGGACACGTCAGAAATGGCCATTCATTTAGCAGGCTCATTTTTGACGAAGCTCATTTCCAATCGGGAAGAGTGAGGCGTTTGCTAGTATTTCTCAATCGAATTATCACGCATCGATTGTTGACTAAAACTGATTACTTGGAGCGTGATATAAAATAATAAAGAGTACGACGAAAAAGCAAAAAAAGATTACAGACATATAAACACACAGATATTGATGAGAATTGTCGCGATTGAATGTGCGCGTTAGGTGATCAAGTTTAGCCCATTCGCGCCCAAATAGAAAAAAATGCGCTTGCAGGTTCGCTATATATATATATCCACCTAATTTGCATAGTGGAGTACCGACCATATAAATATGGTTGGTACCGGGAAGAGAGGGAGGAATCAAGAGATTCAACCAGAGACTCTGTCCGACTGCGACTCAGTCAACACATTCTCCAGGAACGGTCTTACCAGGAATATACAAAAGACTATATGTAAATATTGTGTATACTTTCTTGTTTCAATACATTTTGTTCTAAGTACATTTTGTGTTGCCTTATTATTCCATGCATTAGTCAAGTTTCAACAATATCATTGCACGCAATTATATATATATATATATATATATATATATATATATATATATATTATAAATATAAGTAATTATACTCGTCTCGTGTATCATAGGTTTGCCTGGCTCTTTAGGTTCATAGTTATATATATATATATATATATATATATATATATATATATATATATATATATATATATATATATATATATATATACTGTAAGTCATCGAATCTAGAAAACTCCTCAACAGAATGCAGGAACCACTGGGCGGCCGTTTCGTCCTATTTTGGGACTTATCTGTAGTGCCATCCACAACCGAGATTCGAACCAACTGTACCAACGGGCCTCTGCGACAAAGTAGAAACGGAATAGACTCGATATAGCGCCGCAGCTCAGAAATTCCGTGGTGATACTCATCCAAGTATTCATAACACAACGGATTTTGTCACAAAAGAAACGGCTTTCTTTTCCCCCAACAGCTCCATCGTAGAGCATTAGCTGGATCAAGCAACGATATACAAGTAATATAATAATAATAATAATAATATATATATCGCAGCTGATGACATCACACATGATCACTTATGTAAGCCGAAACCTTAGGATTAAAAAATATTTATCAATATGGTGATTTCCTTTCATCTTTTAATGATAATGTTATTAAGCTTATCAGACGATATGAAAAGAATTTACATAAACTAAATACACAAAACTTTCTATATTATTTAATGAAACATGCATCAATGAAAAATGCTGCCTAAATACACACACACAATATATATATATATATATATATATATATATATATATATATATATATATATATATATATATATATATATATATAGTTATAAGGTGGATAAATGAAACGGCCTGATGAGCTGGGAAAAACCAACCAGTAATACTATAGTTTCACACCAAAACGTATGTACACGTATATGCATTAATTAATAGACAAACATACATACACGCACACAAATATATATGTATACATATATATATATATATATATATATATATATATATATATATATATATATATTATTCGGATTATTGTCCTCATCTTTGTCGCCATATTTATTACAACGTTTCGGCTGTTGTACGCTCCGGCCTTCTTCAGGTGGCTGGAATGTCGAACTGAACCCTTTATTTCCCTCATTGGGGTAGACTTTTCTAGTTCCACGTGCCATGTTTAATGGGTGTCAGTTATCAGTTATCTCCTGTTAATTCCCCTCTCCAAATTCTCCACTGCCTTAATCGGGTATTGAAGGAAGCAAGTAAAAAGAAGGAAGTTCCACAGATGGTAAGTGCGAGACATGAAGCTATTGGAGTAACAGAAACGACTACATTTAACCGTTTCGACAGTGGGACTGAAATTCCAACCTAGTAAAACGCTTAAATTCAATTTTTGGGAACCAGCGAAAATACTTCATCGGAGAAGTTACAGTGAAAGTGCTTGAAGCGATGGGCACGTCTGTGAGAAAGTGAGTGTAGACGAGAAGACAGACCAAGACCAACCACATTGCATATCCATTTCTGCATTTTCTCGAAGACCTTGAAACGAACAGCGGGGGCTCCAGACCATATATGTCAGCAGTTTCCATGCATTGGCAAATGGTTGGCTTATAGATTTGATGTATGGACTCAGGCGAAAAGTCCTTGCAGTAGATGAAGCTATTGATTCAATGTATTTGTTCCTTCTTAGGCTAGTGGAGAGCGTGAGATCAAGAAGGCGCAATAGAAATCGCTGCTATTTCCTTCGAATTCTCCTTTGAACAGCCAGATATCAGTTTACACGGTAAGAAAGAATACAGCTATTAATAAAATGAATTCAAATTATTCCATGCATGATTTTCACAGCTCTAGCAACACTCCTTCATAATCTGCCTATGAACTGTTCAACCCACACTAATACAATGGTCACACAATCTGTACGTTATCGCATAGGTTAATTTGGTGTTTGTTCGATCGTAGCTTACTTAATTCGACAAATGTAACAAACACAGCTGGAAAAACTCCAACAAATCCTTATCAAATCCAACAATAACAACTACAGTACGGCATAAATTGTAAA